AATTATTTTGCATAGTATAATAAATAACCAATGATAAAATAAATTGTTGTATACTTAGGGGTTTCATTTAATAGTCAATTATGTATGTCTTTATATGAAATAAATTTTGAAAAATAGATTGTACTTGGTCACTTTAGTAATAAAATAATACTGTTTTCTCTCACCATTTAAGAATAGTTCTGGAATCTAAAGATGTAATTACTTCTTATAAGGAAATGTACTTTCATGTAAAATCAGTTTCTAAAACAAAAATTCCAGTTAAATTGGTTTTTATTTAATCGAAATATGTATTTTTATAAAAATTTCTTTTCAATGTTTTATTGTAATTATAAATTGTATATTTATAAACTTAAACAACGTACTTAAGTGTTTTGGTAATACATGAGCCTAGTATTTGGTTCAATTCTTTACATTGCTTTTTTAAAAACGTTATGCTTTAAGTTCTATTGTAGTACTTTCTAAGTGGGGACAACTATAAATTTGTTTTTTCTTATATCAATAGTAATTTAAAAATTGACAGAATAGAACTGTTATTTTCCCATAAATATTTTATCAGTTCTTAAAATATCATCAAATAAGATTTTCTTTTCTGGACTTCAGAATAGCTAAATAGCTGAAATTCAATAAAGATTATATGCTGTAGAGCAGATACAACTTTTTAAATGTAAGTTTTAGATGATTAATATATAGAACAATATTAGCAGCACTCTGATTCCATCACTTAGTCCATTGTTTTACTTAGCTGTCCTTGTCCTTTAAAAGAAGACATTGAAGTCTAGCTTCCTGTAGTAAATTTGCATATTAAAATGTAAATACAAAAAATAATTTTCTTTGTTTTGTGAGGCTAGAAGGTCCAGCTTAAAGAATGTGTCAGACCTGTTTGTGATGGGAGGAGCTCTTGTTTTAGAGTCCACGGCTCTCTTGCACTGGCTGGAGAGGGAAGGGTACGGACCTCTAGGAATGACCGGGATATCCATGGGAGGACATGTAAGCCTTTCATTTCAACTGATATTTAATTGTGATTATGTTTATAAGATCTGGGGAATCTAGTTATTTTAAAATTTCACTTTAGGTATAGAATTAATTTTAGTTTTGGTGAAAGCAGAAACATTCTAAACTTTCATTCCAGTTGTGAAATAATGGTATTATTTTTTTGTATGATTTATATAGGCATTGATTGTGCTTTCTCCACGATTATAGCTCAGGTATTGGATTTAATATTGTTAAAAGTTGATTATAAAACAACTCAAGTTTCAAGCATAATGTCTTATTTTGCTGTTAAATTGGTGAAAATAGCTCATTCAGAAAATACTTTTCATTGATCTCTTAGCTCTATCCCTGGCAACACCAACCTATTTTACTTGTGTCTTCTAGAGTACACTAAAGTGGCCTCCTACTTGATCACTCTATCTCTAGTCTTTAATTAATATTTTTCTTAACAGTTTTTCTCCACACCCTAGTGATCTTACTAAATCTGATCTCTGCTTTGTCCTGCTTAAAACCTGCCTGAGGCCTACTGTTGCACTGGGCTCTAGCTACGCTGGGTGCTGGGACCCTTCTAGTGCCCCCTCCATTTCCTTTTACCTGACTGAATAACAGCTCGCTCCTCTAGTTCCACTTTAGAGCTTACTTTCTATGAGAAGCTCCTCCTGACTCCCAGCCTTCCTTACTCCAGAGTACGTTTCATCTCCCATTGTTAGTCCTTATTTCACTGTACTGTGATTAGTACTTGTTTGCTCCGTAAAGCAGCAGATTCAGTGAGGGCCAGGAATATAACCTGGTTCATCACCTGGATGTATTAGTCACTCAGTACATTAACAAATATATTATTTGCTATAAGATCTTAATTTGAATTATAAAATTAAGTTCAAAAACTTTCTCATTCATAATACCAAAATGTGAAGCTGGTAAAATTAGCTTTAAAAACTTACTCAAATTCAAAACTATCAGACAATGAAACTGAAAAATGGAAAAGGATTTATTTTCCTACCTAGTAGTTTCCATTGTTATGACTTAGGGCAAGGCCTTATGATTTCACCTGGATATTGCCTCTTAACTGGTTTTCTTATCCCAAATCTCATCCTCTAATCAATCCTATAAACTACTCTCATTTTTGCTCCCTTGAATCACTTCTTTGACAGTGCCACTCTTTGCTCACACCTCTTTATTAACTCCCCTTTATCTTCAGGGCAAAGGGACCTCAAATCTGAGCCCGATCAACCTTTCCAGCTGTACCTATCTCCCTGACCCCACTGGCCACATGTGCCCTGGTGACCAGCCGAGTTGAAGTATATTGGCTGTTCCCCTACCAAACTCTGCTTTCTTACCATCTTGCCTTTGATCATGCTGTCTTCTTTATGTGGAAGACAAGACCCCATTTTTCATTTTCCCTAAAAGGTGCAGCCATTTCATGAAGCCTTCTCTGATTCCTCTAGCCAAAAATAACTTTTCCACTCTCTAAACACATTTTACATCAGTTATATATTCTGCTTTGTAGTTTACCAAGTTCTTGGCATCTCTCAGTCAACTTCAAGGGTCTGAGATCTTATAGTTGTGATTTTGCTGTACCTGAGCAAGTAACTTAGGTGGTGAGTGTGCTTAGCCTGCTACCCAGCATCTACATGTCAGCCTATTAAGCTCTATGTTTACCCAATAGGAAGTAGTTCTCTGTGAAGGATCTGGAAGTTAAAGTTTTCCAATATACTTTATTGCTTTTCTAAGTTATATGTTGTTGTTGAATTTATGATTTGAGAAGTTTGAAGAGGTTGCTGGATAGTCTCATGAGTCTATAGAGACTTTGTGTTCGTGTCTTATCTCACCAACTACTACACAAAGTTCTAGTTAATATTATTTTTTACTTTAATGACTAGAAAGGTTAAACAGAAGCTGTCTAACTGACTCTGTTAACATATTACAGATGGCTTCCTTAGCGGTATCCAACTGGCCTAAGCCCATGCCATTGATTCCATGTCTGTCTTGGTCCACAGCATCTGGGGTCTTCACTACGGTAACTTAATTATAATTAAAATTTAGATAGTTATATATGATTAAAGGTAATTGTTTGGGGGGCTCCCAGAACCACCCTCAGGTTTGGCGATTCACTAAAAGGAATCACAGGACTCAGCATGTGGTGGTATCATAACTAAGACTCGTTATAGCAAAACGATATAATACAAAATCAGCAAAGGGAAAGGTACACAGGGCGAAGTCCAGAGGATTCCAGGCATGGGCTTTCACTGGAGTCTCAAGATGAGTTTGATTCTTCCAGCAATGAATTGTGACAATATGTGCAAAGTATTGTCTATTAGTGTACCTCACTTGAGCCTAGGAGTCCAGGATTTTCATCAGGGGTCAGTCACTTAGGAACCCTCTGCCTAGCATGTACCAGGGTTCCAGAAGGAAAGCAGGTGTTCAGCAGAAACTATATTGTTTGTACAAGCAGTTCAGGCACAGAGACCTACTTTATAATTTAGGAAGTTTTATATCAGGGTAAAGAACTGTTTATTAGTCAAGTTCCCAGACTTTAGTCAAGGGCCAACCTTACAAGCAGGCCTTTCTAAAGATGGGAAACCTTAAGCCTGCTACGTTAACTCTTCTACACAGTAATAATAAAATTTTTAGACAAAATATTTTGTGGTGTGATTTGATCTTAGTTTGTTATTTCAGGGCGTGCTGAGTAAATCAATCAACTGGAGGGAGCTGGAAAAACAATATTACACACAGACAGTTTATGAGGAAGAAATTATTCAAATGCTTGAATATTGTGGAGTAAGTATTTTTAATTTCTGCATAACATTGGGAGAAAAATTGATTGTTTAATGATACAAATTTTTAAAAAGAATTGCAGTTTTTTAAGAAAGCAGTACTATTTGTTACCTTTTAAAATTCATTTTAAAATAAAATACAGGTACAGATAGTCATGCAAAGCAAATGTATAGCTAACTACATTTATTAAATGGCAAACACACTTGTAATAAATAGAACTCGACTGCCCGGCTCAGAAACTGACTCCCAGCCTGGAAACTACTTCAGTGTGCCCTCATCAAAGGCCCCCCGTTCCCCTGCTATCAGTTATCGTCATCCTGATTTTTATAGTAATTACTTCATCTTTAAAATAATTTTATTGTCTAAATGTATACCCCTAGACACTAGTTTTTATTAGATGTTTCTTTTCAGTATCTTTTGATCTGTAAGTTCTCTTCCATCCCTTTCTTTCCCTTAAAATTTTTCCGTTGAAGAACTTGGGTTATTTACCTGTAGAGTTGCTCACAGTCTAGAGTTTTCTGATTGCATCCTCATGGTCCAGTTTAGCATGTTCCCCCATGCTCTATATTGCCTGCAAATTGGCAACTAGGTGTATAGGCTTGATTAAACTTTTTCTTTGGTAAGAATATGGGAAGCATATAATATTTTGTTGTCTCTTGTTTGTGGTTTAAGCCTCCATTGATGTGTAATGCCTGTGTCATTTTATTTGTTGAGGGTTGCAAAATGCTGATATTCTAATTCTGTCATTAGTTTGAAGACTTTTATAAAAAATGTACTTACCTCATCTCTTATTTAATAATTCAGTTCATATAGGAAAGGCAGGATAAATGCTTCTCTTAATTTGCCAATATGATGAATGGGTTCCCTATTACACTGCTAAGGTGACCAGTTCTTTTCATGAATTTTCTTTTCACAAATTTAAAAATTTTGCACAATCACTCTGAAAGTTAAAATAAAATGCATCATTTGAGACATCTAGAGAATCTCAAGAAATCTCAGAAATGGAATTTTTCTGTCAATGAGGACTTTTCATTTATAATTTTATCACTTATAAACCTCACTTACAAAGTTAAGTCTATCTTGCATAACCTCAAAGGGTAGTTAATTTCTTGCCTTCGAGCTTTGTTAGAAAATAGTTCTAACTACTAATTAGTTCCTTGTGGTCAACTACCCATGCAATCAGAAAGATACCTATATTTGAGATCTTAAAACATGGGTTTTTTTAAAGGGAGGTTCATAAATTTTGGTCTGAAATGGCAGTGTATTCTTACCCAGCACTACTTTCTCTGTGCCTCTGGCTTGGTGGTTGTATACGAGTCTTTTTTGTCTGTTAGAGCTAGTTCAGAGCAATGAATATGCAGAAATGTCAAAATGGCTTCCTTCTGTTTTTGTTTTAAAAACTGTTTTCCCTATCAAAAGAAGTTTAATCTGTTTGTGTGCCACTCTGAGTAATTAATTCTCAGATGCTTTGATCTTACATGTCCCTGTCTGGATGGCTTTAGTGATTTGTTCTGTTAACCAGGTGGTGGTTTTCTTTTTCTTTTTTCCTTGCCCTCAACCAATTTTTCATCCTTTTTTAAAACAGACTGATGTTTCTCATCTTTCGCTATTAAAAAACAATGCTTCAATGAGTGACTCATACATACATCATTTCACAATTGTAAATTCCTAGAAATTTCGTTGTTGCTGAGTTGAAGGGTATATGCATTTGTAATGTGGTTAACTAGGTTGTCTAATCCTAGTTGTGTCAGTTTACACTACCAGCAGGAACATGTGTGTCTTTTTCCCAGTAAGTTCACAAATCCAGTGTATTATCAAACCTACAATTTTGCTCAACCTGATAATGAAAATTGGTAGTTTTTGTTTAATTTACTTAATTTTTAGTGAAATTAAACATGTTTATAAATTTAAGAGCAATCTGTATTTTATTTTCTCTGACCTTATATGCATATCCTTTGCCCATCTTTTCTGTTATGATTTTGGGCTTTTTATTCACTTGTTTCTTAATAAATCAATTAACTTTTTGTCATATAGGTTACAAATATATTTTCCCAGGCTATCATTTTTGTCTTCTGTCTTTGCTTTTAGTATTTGACACAGTTTATTTTTATTAAATTCTGTTGTATTTGTAAGTCCTTAAACTTAGGACATACTTTTGAGATTTTAAAAGGCAGTGTATTTTCCTTGATAATTTTAATTCTTAGTTCAGCCTAAAAATGGGATTTAGATTGGCTGATGTATTAATGCCAGGATATACTCATAAGACTTTTGGAAGTTCTAGCAGATCATGGATTTCCAAACTTCAGCAATAAAAACATGAGACAGAATAAATGATACCCTTTATTGTTCAGTAGGAAACATTTAGCAGTAAAATATATCATTCATCTTGGTTCTCAGTTAAAATTTGACATCTTTTCAGGTTTTTTCTTTAAATTGTGGTAAAATATGCACAACATAAAACGTACCATTTTAACCATTTTAATTGCACAGTTCAGTGGTATTAAGTACATTCACATTGTTATACGACCATCATCTCCATCGTCACCATCCAAGTGCAGAATTTTTCATCTCTTTAAACTGAAAATCTGTCCCCATTAAACAACCTATTCCCTGTCCCTGCCCCACCCCTGGCAAACACCATTCAACTTTCTGCCTCTATGAATTTGACTACCTTAGGTTCCTCATAAAAGTGGAATCATAATATTTGTCCTTTTGTGCCTCGCTTATTCATTTAGCATAATGTCATCAAAACTTGTCTATGTTTTAGCATGTGTCAGAATTTCCTTCCCCTTTAAGACCGAATAATTCATTGTGTGTATATACCACATTTTTTTCTCATTTATTCATTGACGGACATTTGTGATTTCTTTAACAGGTTGATAAATAAAATCCTATATTATATTAAATTATGTTTTCTTTTCTTCCCTATATTCAGACAGATTCTTTCAAAATGGGACAGGAGTTCGTGAAATACTTCCCTAGCAGTGCAGACAAGCTCACTAACCTTAGTCTGGTTTCTGGAACTTTAAATTTAGATATGACAGACCAGGTGGTATCCCCAAAACCTGCTGAGTGCCATAAATCTAGTAAAACATCTTTCATTGCCACATCAGAAAGACTCTTGTTGCAAGATACCTCTAAGATGGAGTGCTTCAAGCAAACACTTCCAACCAACAACAGTAGTTATACAAGTTGTAATCCTCAGGCACACCACTTACTCAGTAAAGAACAAAGAAGAAAGAATCTTCAGAAAGAATCTTTAATATTTATGAAAGGAGTCATGGATGAATGTACTCATGTAGCAAATTTCTCAGGTATGGATTTTTATATGAAATTGAGAATATTTGCTGGTGTGTAAATATTTGTGAAATAATTTTAAAGATACTTTATAATTTTGTATTTTCAGGAGTATATTTATCAGCTCTAGAATGTGTTTTTCAAGATAAGTTAATATTTAAATATATTTTATTCTTGAAAATCTAAGGCCATCTTATTAGTTCATTAAAACCACTGGATTTTTCAGCTTTAGAATTTTCATCTCACTGTATTAGAGATGAATATTGATATTATAGTTGTATTTATCTTAACAAGAGTTCTAGTTTGACAGATGTTTCATTTACTGCGTTGTATGATATACTGTATTTCTAATACAATTAATAGTACTTATATAAAAACCTTAGAGATTTTCTAAAGTACATATGTTGCATTTTTAAAAAAATCCTGTACCTAGTTCCAGTTGACCCAAGCCTCATCATAGTGGTTCAAGCCAAAGAAGATGCCTATATTCCACGAACAGGAGTTCGAAGTCTACAAGAAATTTGGCCAGGCTGTGAAATTCGCTATCTAGAAGGGGGTCACATTAGTGCTTATCTTTTTAAACAAGGACTCTTCAGGTAAGATGATTGGTCTAAATAGGTGTCTATTTATTTGTTGTTTGTTATTGGATTTTTTTTTTGGTAACAACTAACAAAAGATTGGGTATTTTTATCATACATTTTAGTCTTATTTCTTCCTGCCTCCTTCAATTTCACATTGTGGTACTCTCTCCTTTCTTGTCCTCTTACGTTTTTTTTTTGTTTTTGTTTTTGTTTTTGTTTTTGTTTTTTAGAGAACTAGTAGCATATGATAGGCATGCTTTATTGTGTGGTTTCCCCTCTTCAGATATTTATGACCAGGCATTTTAGGGAATAGGGAGGAATACCAGGTTTATAAAACTTGCTTAATTCATCTTGAGTTTTTCACTCCACTCTAATGTTCTCTCAGAATGGCCTGAGCATCTGTGGAAAATCCAGCAATATTTTTCAGTAGCAAGTGAATACTGAACTAAGTGAGCAGTGAAATATTGGTTTTACTGTTAATAACCTTTTATGATTCCACTATTTGTTATAACTTATAAAAACTATGCTATAACTAGTTTTTGGTATCCTGCATTATTTCTACCTCTATTCAATTTGATGGTAAAAGGTATCCTTGGACTATAATAATTATTAATGGTTAAATAAACTAGTTCACATAAAGTGCTTAGATCAGTGCCCTGTGTATAATAAAGTTTCAAAAACTTCCAGCTGAATAGCTATGTTTGACATGTTTTAATTCTTTTTAATAATTCTTTGTTGTTACTTATTTAGTTCAACTTACAGATATAACCTTTTAGATGTCTGGAGTAATTCTTTAAGTCTGTAATGTCCTGAAGCATATAATAAACCTTTTTATTATACAATGTTTTAAAAATTATTTATTCAGCATTTGAGTCCCTGTTAGTTGCTAAGTGAACAGACTACCTACCCAGTGTGACTCTCTTGCACAGCAAACAAGAATTGTGAGTACTTAGGGTTGCTAGGGTTGCTCAAGTAGAGTCTAAAGTTCTATTTGTGAATGCAGACAACCCACATGCTTGCTTTAGTAAATCAGTATCAAATTTATTTTTCTCTTTTATGTATCTAAATGGAAGTGTGGCTGGGAGGCATTAGGAAGAATAGATATAATCAAAGTCAGCTGTAAAAACTAACAAGTGTTCATTTAAAGGCTTCATTTGAGAAAGAGAGAAATGTTAGCTGTTACTGTGTGCCAGGTACTAGAGCAATTGCTTCATATGTTATTAACCCCTTTATACAAATACAGGGGACAAAAAAGATTAAATAGCTTTCTCAGGTGCAGAGTCACTACTAAGCTATTTGGCCTCTCCTACTCCCCACCAGTCACTTCAAAATTTTGAACAAAGTTTAGATGATATTGGAATAGAATTTTTAAAAATTCATTCTTTTCACTCACCAGATGTAAAAGAAGCCACTTCTTTGTATGCTCTGATATTTTCTTTTAAGTTATTTAGAACTGATTGATACTGTAAGTGAATAGAGACTATTAAAATGATTTAAAAGGTATACCTTTCCTAACTGCCCTCATACCATTTACACAAGCCTAGGTTGCAAGCTTAGGCATCAGGAGATCAAGTAAATTTATTCTAACAGAGCAAGTATCCAGGACTAACTCAGAGGAAAAACCTGTCCAGTGGACAGACACCTCAGGGCCCTCTCTCACCTGCAGTCAACTGCTGCTCTCATACTCGCCCTAAAACACAATCTCGTAATGTGTTTACACCAACATGCAAATGTCCATCTTTAATTTGTTTCCCTTCTCATTGTTTGTTACATTTTACGAGAGTCAATTTTTGAGCCAAACATACACAAGTGTAATACTATACAAGTGTAATGGAAAGCTGTCTTCCCGTTATATTGGAAATCATAATCTATTAGGAGGCTGCCAGTTTTAAAGGTTATATATTTTTATAATCTTAATCTTTTTTTAAGGATGTGGGGAAATGCTTAGTCAAATGTGTAGGATATAGAATATCATCTCATAGTTATTTTTTAAACTGGGTAAAAATATAGACATATGCATTAAAAAAAAGCCTGAAGGAAATATATGAAAACATTAAAGTAGATACCTTAGAGTGGTGGAGTTCTGACTTTTTCTCCTTTCTGTATTTTTGGATTTTCTGAACATTCTCCAGTGAAAATGTAGAATTTCACAACATGAAAAAACCAAAACTAGCTTTAAAAATAATATGATATGGACCTGGGCCAGATCAATTTGACTGTTCCTTTCCAATAAAGATATTAAAATACCTAGTAAAGTTAATGTAGGAAACTAAGGCTTTTGATTTTAAGTTCAGTTGCTAGGAACATGTTTGTTTTATAAAGAAAAAGCATCTATACCATAATCTGAAATAGAATGAATACTACATTCTGAAAAGTTATGTAGCCAGTTAATATTCAAGAAGTGACGAAAAGGAAACCAGTTCCTTTATCATTTTATGTATTACACATATATGTAAACATATATAAATCTGAAGGCACAAAAAGTACTGCACAGAAGAAAATGGTGCTTCTGAACCGGAAATACATTTGCAGTTTTCCAGTGGTGGTGAAGTAACATGGATACAAACACCCTCAGGTAACTGCCTCTTTCACAACTATCTGGAGAGGAGGTCAGTTAAAAGCCACAGGTAATTCTGGAAATAACCTATAGTAAAAGCACTGTTTCCTCCCCCCACCTTGCTAATTACTAGTTTTTCTTTCATTTTTAATTTTAGACGAGCCATCTATGATGCATTTGAACGCTTTCTCCATAAATATGCAAACTAACTGGATCACTGTATGTAACCAGTGTGGGCATCATGTTTCTTATGAAAAGAGTTTCATCCTCTGATGATGTGAAGAATAAGCAGACAGCACTATATATTTAATTGCTATCAATTTAGTCTGGAATTCAGTGTTACAGACCAGTCGAATGTAATCTTCAAATGCATTTGAATAACTAAACCAATATTTGGATGAGATGATGTTGAAGTATTATTGTTTGTGGGAATCCCACATACTCAATATATAGTCTATTATTATTTATGAAAACTCAAATTTTTAATTATGAATAATTTATTAATTTAAAATAAATTTATTCATAGAAACTATATTGGTTTTTACGGAACTGCTCAAACAGCTTATAATATATCTGCCTGTATTGTATACCCTTATGTGATATCTCTACTATTGACTTGCTTTGAGAAACATGTTTATTTCTTTTATGGATCCACAGTGAATTTATAATCTTATTTTCACCTTTAATTTTCTACCATAGAAATACTTATGATGTATAAAACCGGTATTAACTTTGAATTCTAAAATATCCTGATTGTTTCTTATTTAAGTGCTTTTAATAATTAAAATTAATGTGGGAATGCAGATAAGATGCATAAGACTTGACTGAACTTAAAAACTGCCAAATATCAGATTAGAAAAAAATGCCAAACATTTTTTC